ACCACAGTTAAAGATTAAGCCTCAGGGGACTAAGTATTTAGCCCAAAAAAAATTAAAAAATCACTATAAATTATCACATAAATCTCTGTATTTTTTTGCACATTTTTAAAAAAGTAAAAAATTATTAAAAAACTTATTTTTCCAAAGGAAACCTACTAATCAACAAAGTCTAGATGTGAAAAGACTTTGAGTGTGAAACTAATGGAGTGTTTTTATAGAAGGACTAGAAAGACTTTGAAAAGTAGGAACGATAATTTGAACTCGATCCGACGGGAACCCGATCTCCCGACTTCGATTAGAACAGATTTTTCTCAAAAATTACCTACCATAAGGCCGGGAATGGTATTAAAAATTAAATTCCCAGCAATTTTTGGGCTGGGGTGGGACAGGTTCCCCTGACCTCGTCCCTGTCTCGTCCTCACCCCGAATTATCCCCGAATATTCTCCAAATATTCCTCATATATATATATATATATATTATATATGTATATACGTGTATGTTTGAGTTTGCCTCTCACTCACTCACATTCATCTCTCTCAGCCTCTCTCTCTCTCTCTCTCTTTCTCTCTCTTTGCGTAGCTATTCTTCATCACGGCGTCGGCAGCGATCTCCCTTCTACCATCACTGCCGATCACTGTCGTCCCCCATCGCCGCTGTCCTTCATTCCCATCGTCGTTGTCCCTCCTCACCATCGAAGCCGTCTATTCATCTCTGTTGTTCCTGCTCCATCATCATCAGAGTCTATTGGCTCCTCTCCATCGCCGTCAATCGTCGTCGTCTCTCTCTCTTTCTTTGAATGTGTTAGATTTTTTTATTTTACATTTGAGTTCAGATATGTTCGATCTATTGAATATACATGTTAAATCTGAAGTATGGGTGTTTTGTGTGTTTGATGATGATGATGAACATATATGATTGTTGTTGTTATTGATAAATATATATGCTTAGATCTGTTGTTGAATATATATGTTATTTTTTATTTTTATTTTTGGTCGGAGAATTTTTAGAGCCGGAGAAACTCGATCCCTGTAAAAAGCGGGGGTGGTGATAGATTCCCGTAGAAAATCGGAGCTGAAAAAGAAAAAAATTTTACCATCTGAGTTGAGGCCCCGTTTGAGGACTTACTTTTTTAGCCAATTAGTCAAAAAGTTACTAAATTAGTCAAAAAGTTAAAGATTTTCTTTTCTTTCTACTTTTTGCACATCTTTTGTAATTAACTAAAAAATTATTTCAAACATATAAATTTTTTATCTATTTTTTAATTAAATAATTAAAAAATTATTAAATTAACATGTTTCCAAACGATACCGAGAAACATGGAGGGTCATTCTCAACCCCACCCCGGCCATTGCCGCCTCCTATTGAAAAGTCATGCTAATCAACGAAGTCTGGATGTGAACGAGACCGAGAAACATGGAGGGTCATTCTCAACCCCCACCCCGGCCATTGCGCTCCTATTGAAAAGTCATGCTAATCAACGAAGTCTGGATGAATGTGACAACTAATGGAGTGTCTTATAGGAGGACCAAGACTTTCAAAAGTCATACTAACCAACAAAGTCTAGATGTGAACAACAGTGCCTTTATAGAAGGACTAGAAGGGCTTTGAAAAGTCATCCTAATCAACAAAAAGTCTAGATGTGAACAAGACAAGTGTGAAACTAATGGAGTGTCTTTACGGAAGGACTAGATGAACTTTGATAATATCTAAGAATGCAATGATATGAGGGAGTAGAAATCATCCAGTTTGTTTGGTTGTGTTTTTAAAAAAATTTATTTTTTGTTTTTTTATTTTTTTATTTCTATTAAATTTTTTTAATATTTAAGTAATTTTTTTTACTTTTTAAACATACTTAACATAAATATACCTAAAAGTAAAAAATTTGTGAAATTTTTTTAAAAAATTTTACAAAATACCAAAAATACAGATATTTAGTATATTTTTTGTATTTTTATGTATTTATTAAATTTTTAAAATATTTTTCAAAATTTTTTATTTTTTAAATAAATCTAATAAGGTGCCTCTAAAAAATAAAAATATATATTTAAAATTTTAAAATATTCACTAAAAATAATAGAACACGAAAATCAAAAAATTAAATTTTCAAAAAACTTAATTTAAAAAATTCAAACCAAACACACTGATTATATTCCACACTCACTTCCCATATTCAATCCATTTAAATACATAATTAAGTAGAACTTGCATTTTTATTTTAAAAATACAAATTTAAAGTTGGTTTATTTTAATTTTTTTAGAAGAATGCTCATATGTTAGCTAGATCTGAGCTACACGATGTGATTGCTATGGCCGTTGTGGCCACAACTTTGGGAATTTTACGGCTAGTTTAGCAATATTTTCGGATTAGTTATACTTTTACTCTTATAATTTGATTTAAATTTAATTTTAGTTATACTTTTTACTCTTATAATTTGATTTAAATTTAATTTTAATATCTTTTTTTTAATTTATTCCTTGCATTTTAAGTATATTTTTAATTTGATTTTTTTTTATCAAAATGAAAGTTAAAATTAATAATTTTGATATACTGATCAATTTTATAATATGTACATACAGAAAAAATTAATAAAAATTTAGGCAAAAAGATTAAATTAAAATTAGACTTAAAATGTGGAGGCCAGATTGTTCAAATTAAAATAAAGCGGACTTACGTCTAGATTATAATAGGTACACTTTTATCCAATAAGTCATGCGAGAATTAATGAAATTTTCACAAACACTATTAAAAAAAGTCACTAATTGTTAATTTTCAACAACAGTTTAAAAATTGTTATAAAAATGCCACTAATTATAAGTTTTGGCAATAATTTAAAAAATCATCACAAAAAGAAGTTACTATTTTCAGCTTTGAACTACAGTTTAAAAAATTCGTCACAAAAAAAGTCAATAATTGTAAATTTTAACGACAATTTATAAGAACTAAGACAAAAAAAAGTCACCAAATTGTCAATTCTTAACGACATATACAAAAAATTGCATACAAAATTATTTTTAATAACGATTTTACTAGGACTTATTTTCAATAAGATTTGATGGGAATTATATCAAATTATTAGGACTTATTGATAATTTACTCTTAAAAAAAAATAATAGTAATTAAGTGAAATTTGACCTAAAACTATAAAGGTGAAAAATGTAATTAACCCATGATTTTTTAAGGATAAATAAATTACATTTTAATTCTTCTAGTTTGATTTAAATTTTATTTTGGTCTCTATTATTTAAATTTGAACAATTTGATCATTATCCTTTTCAATCCAGTTTCAATTTGGTTTTTTCAAGTTAGAGGTTAAAATTTATAATTTTGAGACATTTGTCAACCTCCTAAAGTATATACGTAGAAAAATTAAAGGACATTTGAATGGAAGGCCCAAACGGAAGTTAGAGTTAAAGTATAGGGATTAAATTATTTAAATTAAAACAATAAAAACGCAAGTACAATTTGAGTAAAATACTTAATTTATTCAATTACTATTATTATTTTTAATAAGGTCATCTCGCCTCCAATCTTCACAGAGGACTAGATACTTAATTTTGACTTTTAAGCCATCATAAGCCGTGTTCATATGATTCGAATAGATAAATTTTTAGTATTTATTTGTGGATTATTATTGAAAACATCATATATAATTTAAATACGTGTAGTCACATGTTTTCAATGCATTTCTTTTCAAAAAAGAAAAAAGATTACAAGGGTAATTTTTTTAAAAAACAATGTCTATTTTTTTTTTAAATGCGAATAAAATTATGTAATTTACATTTATCTGATTAATATGACTTTTTTCAAAGATAATTCACACACAAATAGATAAAAGATAACTGGTTCGAATCATTAAAATGATACTCGTAACGGGCTTAAAAACTCTGCCGACATATTTTTAATAATATTTTTAAAATCTAAAAAATTGATATTGTTGGTAATGTTAATAATTTTTTGTTGGCTTTTTTGGCTTTCGAAGGTTACTTTCGTAATTATGAGCGTGCCAGCAAGGATCAATCAGTCCTTACAGAATTGTAATTGCCAAACAATTATTCAGACGATTGTGTTATGGTTCTTTCGGCCTCAATAAAGAGGACTTTTACTGGTGGCTTACTGGTAATTTGACTTCAAAAAACTTGAGCAAAAGAACAGTTAAATAAACTGAAGTATTTCATTAGTATGAAAAAACTTACAATGATCTTAGTTCCGTAGAGAAATTACAGCGGCAATATACTTGACAACTACTCCTACAAATGAAGTGCAGCGCAGACTAAATGGCTATATAACCTATTCGAAGGTGCCAATATTCCCAGGACATCTGAATGCTGTCTTGTGGACATCCTCCTCTACAATGCAGATTTGGTTATAACTAGAGTGTCCATCCATCATTGATAAAATTTGATGCCCTACTGAACTGTCTACCAACAAATCTACTATAGGCATAGGATACTAATCTTTTGGGGTTGCTAAATTTAGGTTTCTGAAATCGATTCATACCTTCATTGTACTATTCTTCTTAACTACAGACACAATATTGGATAACCATTCAACATACCTAGCTGTCCTAATAAAGCCTGCCTTAAGAAGCCTAAGAATTTCCTCCTTGACCTTCTGAATCACTTCAGGA